GATTGCTTCCTTAAAGAATTTACATTTAATCTTGACATATAACAGAGGCTTTCATTGCAAGTAAAATGCCATATCACTCAAAAAATTAAAGAACGTTTGTTTTTGACCACAATGGATTCTCGTCATATTTTCTTCAGGCTGTATGGAACTGTAAGGCTCCAATTCACTTATTTAACACAAGGTAAATCACTGAACAGAAGCACCCATTAGCAAAAGAATATGAGAATATTCAGCCACATCACTGGCACAAAGGAGTTTACTATCTAGAGAGTCTGGAAGTTAAAACTAAGGACTTCACCTAAACATGTAATTTTCGATGTTTAGAAAATATGCATGAAATCTCCAATAGAACTGCAGCACTCCTATGTCAGTAATATGCCAACCACCAGTGAGTTCGTGGTTAAACAGCATGACCCACAGCCATTCACCTATAGCACAAACATATGAGGGCAGTCTGCAAACATTCCTGTTAAGAGATATATCTATTTAAAATAATTCATATTAGGACATTTGGGATAAGATATTTTATAAATCTGCATAAACTAGGAGGTTTCCAAGGAATGCTGTCTATCTTTTCTTGTTAAAGGCAATTTAGTCATAAAATATATTTTTCTAATTGTTCCTTTTTGTATGCTTGACCAAAACAATGGAGGCAAAAAAGAGGAGAATTTAAAGAAGGATTAAACTAACCTATTCCAATCTGGTATTTTCCAGTTGTTAGCTATATTATCAGAAGATAGCATGACAGTTATTTTCCAAAAGCACTTGATTATGAAAATGTTCTTACAACTTAGATCAGGGCTTTTTAACTTTATGGAGCCTTGATTTCCCTAAGACAGACATGTCAAGCACAAGGCCCGGGGGTCGGATGCGGCCTACGAAGTGGTTTCATGTGGCCATCCTGGAAACAGCGAGGGAACGGCCCCCGCTGCCCTGGCCCAGATCGGCCGGGAGCCAATGTACAATTTTGTGGTGGCCATCTATGCTGAAACGCATTCAGTCTTACTCCACAAGGCCATCTGGAAACAGCGAGGAACTACCCGCCGCGTCAGCCCCATCCCCTGGGTGCATGCTGGGAGGTGTCACCCTTTGTGAGGAATGAAGAAATGTACCATCGCCTGGAAGTGGCCAGCAAATGGCCCTCGCCTACTTCACATATCTGGCTTGATGGGCTCTGGGGGAGGGGTTTTGGCAGGCAGAGGGGCGCTCCCCTCACAGCGCCGAGAGGCTGAGCCGGGCGGCGCAAATCCAGAAGGAAACACGAGGCCACCCAGCTCCCAGCCTGCCTGGGTTCAGCAGGCAGTCGGGCGCTCTCCTCACAGCGCCAAGAGCTAAGCCGGGTGGTGCGAATCTGATGAGAAGTGCAATGCTGCCTAGCCCCCAACCTGCCCAGTTTCAGCAGGCATCAAGGTGCAAAGCTGGCGAGCTTCGCACCACCCAGCTCAACCGCTTGGCACTGTGAGGAGAGTGCCCCGCTGCCTGCCGAAACCGGGCAGGCTGGGGGCTGGGCGGCATTGCACAGGTAATGTTGACTCTCATGCTGCTCATGGCATCCCCTTCCCCCAGAGTCCACCAAGCTAGATATATGAAGTAGGTGAGGGTCATGTGCTGGCCACTTCCAGGTGATGGTGCATTTCTTCATTCCTCACGAAGGGTGGCAACTCCCCAGCTGCATTTCTGGCCTGTTTTTCTCCCTCCCTCATCTCAAATATTTTCCCACCACTCTGTACTTAGGAAGAAAGAAAGGAAAGAAGGAGAGAGAGGGTCTGAGGGAAGTCCTGCCTTAGTCCTGCCCTGCTGCCCTTTCACCATCCCCTTGCCCCCTCCTCCTGGCCTATCCTGGGGGTTTCCCATTCTATTGCTAAGGAAGCTGTGGATACAAAGCCAGGTCTCCTCCCATGGAGAGGGAATGGGCCTCCCTCTGACTTTGCCCTCATACCCATCATGAGCAACCTGGGTAAGGGAGCAAGCACATCAGCAGCAGCCTTGAGGAGGAGGTAAGTGCAGCTGGGCACTCCCTTGGGGAAGTGGGGCTGGGCTTGGTGCCGCAGGTGCTCGAGGGCCAGGCTGGGCATTTGACCTCTGCTCTCCACGGCTCCTGGCAGCCTGCACCACCATCCAGCCCCCCCCCCCAACATGGCCTGAAAGGAACAGTGAGGCTCCTCCAGTGGACCATGCCTTGGCACTTGCCCTGGTCCCACCCCCTTCTGCCAGAGACCCTCAGATCTGTCCCACTCCTGCCCAGGCCCCCACAGGCACCCTTGACATGAATGATGTAGAGCTGGCCACACCCACCCAGTAAGCCACACCCACTCCATCCATGCCCACCCAGTAGGCTTCACTCACCCTCCCAAACCCACCCGGTCCCCCAAGGGCAACCACAATCCTGATGCAGCCTTCAATGAAATTGAGTTTGACACCCCTGTCCTAAGATGATGGATTATTATTTCTGCCTACCCCACCCACTAAAACTAGTAAGATCCTCCTCAATAGTTTGGAGTGTGCCAGGTACCAGTTTAGCATCAAATCAAATCCTTATCCCCTATGTGCACATAAAGCCAGAGGCCTATCAGAACATGGTCCTGCTGCCAGCATATCCAAACAGAGTGGGACTGAATTCTTCTACTGCTCAGTTTTACACATACAAAGCTAAGTTACTGTCAGTTAAAAATGATTAAACAGATAAAAATACTGATTTTTCTGGCATATGAGAATTTTTAGGAATAAGCTATTGTATATAATATGTGATAAGGAATGAGGGAAGGGGTTAAGTTAAGCCTAATAAGTGGCATTGCCTCGGCTCATGCTCCCAAGAAAAATGTACAGCTTTGTGTTAAAAAAGACTGTTACCTGCAGGATTCAATCATGTGGGAGGGAAAGGAGGCAGAAGGAAGATGCTCCCAAAACATCAAATTTTGCCCTCCACAAAGAAAGACAAATGATTTTCACTGAAATTTAATTTTGTGAGAGAGGATCTAAACTGAACAGAAGTGAAAAATGCCTAGAGTTCATGTTCAGAAATGGTTGTGGTTACTCTTTTTACTTAAAATTGGCTTTCATGGAAGTTACAGCATTCATATAATGTTTCAGTGATGCCAAGTTTACGGATTTCCAACATTTTTGGTATGGTAGTCACATAATGGAATTTTAAGACCAGTATTGTAAGTGTTCTCATCAAAACTTCCTTTAATGGGCCTAGCCAGACATTAAAAAAACAACCCTTTTAATTTTGGGACTGCTCCCTTCTTTAGTGCTGTACTGTAATTTCCATAAATCAGCAGCCAGGGTGTCACCTTAAGGATAACTATGATATTTGACATACCTTAAAGATTATAACTAATGAAAATAGTAATAAATGTTTGTTGAAATAGCAGAAAATAAGAGAAAAAAATAGAGATATATTAGACAGGACTGAATTATGATTTATAACATCATTTTATAGGCCCTGTCCCTTCTAGTGTGATGGGAGAATAGCTTTTGAGTGTCAGCTGATAAGGACCATATCTGGTTTTATAATAGGATAGGTTTCTGGATGCAGGAGTACAAGCTTTGCTCGATCCGTTGGAGCTAGTCTTTTTTTTTTTTATTGAACAATTTTTAAAAGTTTTACAAATCAACCCTCACCCAATCCCTCCCAAACCCACCCCCCCTCCCCAAACTTCCCAGAACTGAATATAGGCTTATTTAAAATTTTAAAAAACCTTTTACAACTTATGAAATAATTAGTAATAAGATATACATAACATAAACATTAAAAAAGAAGTACTTAAGAAAGAAATAAAAAAGAGAGGAAAGAGAGAGAGAAAGAAAAAGAAAGAAAGATAAAAAAATAAAAGAAAAAAAAGAAGAAAGAAAACAAAAGACGGAAAAAGAAAAGAGAAAACAATCTATACAGACTATGAAAAAGCTAAATGATATTTTTCTATATCCAAATTATATTGTATAAAATTTATCCATTTTTCCCATATAACAAAAAATTTCTCTTGAGATTGCTCCTTTAAGAAAGCCGAAATCTTTGCCGTTTCCGCCAAGTAAGAAACTTTATAAAACCACTCTTGTAAAGTAGGCAAAGATTCCTTCTTCCAATATTGTCCTACTAACAGCCTTGCGGCTGTAATCAAATTTAACATCAATATAACTTCCTTAGCATCACAATCAGTAACAATGCCTAATAAAAATAATTGTGGGGTAAATTTAACCCTCCTTCTAAAGATTCTTTGAATATTCCACCATATCTTAATCCAAAAAGCTTTTATATTTTTACACGACCACCAAATATGGTAATAAGTAGCGTCCAAACAACCACATAATTGTTTTTATACAATTTTACATTAGAAGCAGATAATATGACCCCCAAATATTTTACCTTATCACAATTTCCTCATTAGTAATTAAACCATTAATCTCTTTTTTCTGATCTTCTGTTAATTTAGGAAGATTAGCTTTGCTTAGATAATTATTTATATCTGTAGTTTGTACATTAATACTCTTATATAACTTTTGATAATAATCTAAAAAAGATTTCTTAATCAATTCTTTCTGATAAACCAATTTACCATTATAATTTATTTTATCTATAATTCTCTGTCTCTGTTTGGAGCTAGTCTTGACCCACCTTTCCTCCATACATAGGATTGATGATGGCACTATTATTGCTAATATTTAGCTCAGGCATGTCAAACTGGTGGCCTATGTGCCAGATGCATCACTCCAAAACCATGCCCACCCCATTGCCGGCAATGGGAGAAAAGTCCTGATATGTCGCGCAACATCACATGATGTTGCGAGTTTGACATGCCTGATTTAGTCCCTTCATTTGGGGGGGGGGGACTTTGAACTGTTTCTACCTGTTGTGAGTAATTTTAGGCGTAATTCTATTTTTAAGGATATTCTAATGTTACTTTCTGCTCCAGGGATTATATGTATTCATGCATGTAAAGTCAATTAGATTACTAGTTCTTACGTGCTATTAAATTTTTCATGGCTTTTTAATATTTTAGGTGAAGATTAAAGCATGAGTACGGAGATCAGCCAGGGAGTAATCACAACCCCTCCACCCTCCACCATGCCTCACAAAGAGAGATATTTTGACCGCATCAATGAAAATGACCCTGACTACATCCGTGAAAGAAATATGTCTCCTGACCTCAGGCAAGACTTCAACATGATGGAACAAAGAAAGAGAGTCACCCAGATACTGCAGAGTCCTGTGAGTAGGATTCAGCATAGAAGAAAGTCCCTCCCTCCCCCCCCCTCCAAACCTGTATGTTTAAGTGTTCATGAAAAAATATATAAAAAGCAAAAGTGGACTGAACAAGGAGGGAAGACCTCATTGACTATAGGAGAATCTATGTCATGATTGTAACTTTTCACAAGTGGGATTGTTTGTTCAGTATTTGCATAGTTTTCATCTGCAAACAAACAGTCCTTTATCCAGAGTTTGCTCCCTCCCGCCTCTTAAGCAATGCTTCATTAACACCGCACAAAAGTAGCTTTCGAGCTACGTTTCAATTGATTGCTGCTTAGTCACAAGGAAAAGAAGGAAATCTTTAGACAAATCCAAACCGTTGGGACATTTTCTTGCAGAATGGCATTCCACTCATTTGACTTCTGTATTCAGAAACTGCCTGAAATGCTGTTACATAATTTTGCTGGTTGAAAGAAAGTAAAAGCATTGAGATAAGTAATCCATCTTAATCTGAAATCTAGATCCACAGGTTTTATAAGTGAATATAATTAGTAAATAAATCAATTTTACTGCTTATTTTTAATGTTGGTATCCTGAATTTTAACCAAAATTCTAAGAGTGAACTATAAATGATTTAGAGTTGATAATCATTTAAATAGTTAAGGGGTTCAGGTATAATTCTCTGTAGTAGTTTTGCAGGGTATTCACTGGAGGTTTCTCTAAAAGTTCTTATCCTCTCCTTTTACCAGATTTGGAATAAAATAACATTTTAGTAATACTGTGTACTTATAATTATTATCTTAAACTATTTTGTTCAACATTTCCATTTATTACTCCATTACTTGAGTCTTCAGGAAATATAGTTAATAATGCAATATTTATAACCTGTCTCTTTAGAATATTTCTATTTCTTATAGAAAGATTATAATAGAGGGTGCTTTTTTAAATTATAACTAATGCCAGTGGAATACATTTTATGAAATATTCTTTAGATAGAAAAATATGACCAACTGAACCATAGTGTCATTCATATAAAGGTGCACTTTACAGGGGCCTGAAATCCAGAAAAACCTAGCATAAGCTGTAGTTACTTTACCTGAAGGGAAGAAACATTATAATTGTTTTCAAAAATAATCTGCTTCACTATAAATTTAGACATCTATATCTGTGTGTGTGTGTGTGTGTGTGTGTGTGTGTGTGTGTGTGTGTGTGTGCTAGTCCATATCAGTTTATGCTTTCATATTGTTCAGAAAAAGTAAAAATTGCTAACATTAAACAGAAAAGCAAAACAAGCAGCATTCTGGATAGCGAGATAATGTGTTGTTTCCCTCAGGCTTGTGTTGGGAAAAACTTAAATGTGTTTGTCCAGTTAGATTAAATCACTTAGTTTGATCAAGTGAAAAAATTGTGCCCTGTCAGACCTAACATTCTCGGAATTCCTGATAGCATATGCAGCGGAAAGACAGCAGATGAAAAGGAGAAAAAACATCAGCATAATCAAAGACACTGATCTCAGGACTTGAGAAGTAGTGCTGTTGTAGTATGTGCTTAGGTTCAACATACGTATGTCAGCAAATACTTGGCTCATGTAGCCATACATATTGCATCATCTCATTTTAAAGGAATATTAGTTATTATTTTAAACAATTCATTTTTATTCATGCCACATTAATACATGTGTCACAGAAACATGTGATGGGTGGGAGGTTGGCTTCTTTATTACTAGCTTTTAGATAAGAATAGAGGGGTATATCAAATAGAAAATACGTTTTGTTTTAAAATCAGAGTACAAGCCCACCAAAATACTCTAGCAGTATGTTCTGAGTTGAACACATTTCAGTGGATAAAAATTCAAAGCAACTATGCTTTTAGTATGGGAAACTATGCAAAAAGTAAACTTTGACAGTGCTCACATTGAGTTCCTTGTTTAATGTGTTGCACTTGGAGATACACAATACACAAAGAGCAAAAATATCCCTGCCCTTCTTTTCCTCAGATTACAAATTAGTGCTACAAAACTACATTTGCTGCCATTGCTAGCCTAAATAAAAGCCATCAACTAAGCCTGCATTTAAGTTAATAAAACTAATATTGCAACAGCAAAAAAATATACCCTGTTATACCATATTCATATTGTGTTATAAGGGGAATTGAAAAACCTTCATCTAAATGTACCCTAAAGCTCAATATCAACATTGGTTCTTGTATCAAGTTAATATTAAGCTTTCAGGATTCATTTAAAATGCAAAATTGTTTCCTGGGTTGATTTCTTGAGCTTTATGTGTATCCTGTATGTTGATATTGAGCTTTAGAATACATTTAACTGATATTCCCCGAGCAAGTGAAGTTTCGCTGAGCTTTCTATGTTTAGTGACTGGGGGTGTATGTGCTTTCTTTTTAATTTAATGTTTGGTGCTAGGATTAGGTATTTTTGTATGCCATCACAGTTCTCTGGGATTAGGGCAATAAATAAACACACAGTGTAGAAAATATAAACTTTATATTACTTAGTTAAGCTTTAAGGGGTAGTCACCTGTACATTCTGCCATGCTGTTGTAGTCTCTTGTTGAGATTTAGGATGCCTTAAAAATGTTTCATTGGTCAGTTAGTTATAACAGAAGAAACCAGCATACACAGAACTCACGTACATAGTAAAGATCTAGAAACTGATGTCTTTCAAAGTAACAGTATCATGTGCATACATCAGTGCAATTAACAACATATTATAGAAACACAATAGTTCATAGATACCTTTATACTCAGAATGGGTAGCTTGCTGCAGCCAATTTGCTGTGGCCAACTCGCCGCAGCCAATTCATCGCAGGACAACTCGCCACAGAAAAAATTAACAATTCAATTTAATAATTTAAAATAAATTAAAAATATTTTAAATTTTGTCCCTCCTTTATCATCCTTTCTTTAATGATTCTATTCCAACATTTCTCTGATATTAATGTAACTCTTTTCCAGCAGCAAGTTGGCCATGGCAAATTGTCATAGATCCATTGTACAACTATATCCTAGGTCAGTGATGGCAAACCTTTTAGAGACTGAGTGCCCAAACTGCAACCCCAAACCCACTTACGCATCATCGAGTGCTGGGTGGGTGTGGCCCATTGGCTGGGTGTGGCCCATTGGGTAGGTATGGCCCATTGGGTGGGCGTGGCTGCGGTGGTAACGGCAGACTGGATTGGACTAAAAAGTTCAATCAATGAATTCCAACTTTGCAAGATCTTTTTTTTTTCCCTCGAGAAGTTGAAATTGACTGATTGAGCCTTTTTTTTTTTTTTTTTTTTTGCACACAGTGGTGGAAGCCTAAAGTAAAAAGGTTTTATAAAACCCAGCTGAAGGCCTAGGATTGGGACGATGGTGCGTGTGCCCACAGAGAGGTCTCTTGAGTGCCGCCTCTGGCACCCGTGCCATAGGTTCGCCACCACTGTCCTAGATCTTTCTTAATATCATTCCATTCTTTAGCATAGTTATTCTGAAACAACATTCAATTCATATTAGTCAGTGTAATCCCTATGTACGTAACTTTCTTTTTAGTTTAAAATTGGTCTTTTTCATCAAAATCTCTTGAGTTTGTATATTGTATGTAGCCACTGTGTGTTGTAATAGATAATATTTAAATATCTTACAGGCTTTTCGGGAGGATCTGGAATCTCTTATTCAAGAACAGATGAAGAAAGGAAATAACCCAACCGGACTACTTGCCCTACAGCAGATTGCAGACTACATAATGGCAAGTTCTTTTGCAGGATTTTCTTCATCACCTCTAAGTAAGTAAAAGTGTTACAGTAAAATAAATGGCTAAAAGACTGGCTTTCTTATTTTAGAGATCTTCTATCAAGTTATTCCTTGTCCCTGCAGTAATTGATAGGTACTGTACAGCCCATATGATATTGGTAAAGTCTCTATAAATATATAGAGATAAATGTTCTTTATAAATATATAGAGATAGATGATATGAAAAGAGTTGGTGTTCTATATATAACAAATACTCCTAACACTGCTATTTATTACTTAATCGTATTAGTTTAATAGTTGAAATAACTTTTTCTCCATGTTGATAATTTTTTTATCGTAATGAATCACTGTTAGCTTTTTTTTTAAGCATATGGCATACATAGCCAGGGACTTGAGATTCAGATGATGTTTCAAAGCACTTTCTGACTTCAGAGTTGCTCCCCCCCCAAAGTTAGAAAACTAGTATTATTCAAACATAATATTGAGAAGTCAAAACTTCAGTTGGAAAGAAATTGAAAGTTGCACCATAGTACCGTAGTTTTTGTGTAATCATATCCTATATGTTTTTAGGAAGAAAGTTTTCTCAGTCATTTTTATCAATATCATTTTAGGCTGTGGACTGATAACACCTATTAATGATCTACCTGGGATAGATACCACTACATTTGGTAAAGGAGAAAAACTTATTCGTTGTAAATTAGCCAGTTTGTACAGGCTTACAGACTTATTTGGATGGGCACACTTAGCCAATTCATATATCACAGTGAGTATCCTGAAGTTAACATATTCACTTATTTCTACTACATTAAAATGTATTGCAAAGTTCTCACCTTTATGAACAGTATTTTTTTAGATTAAATATATACTGTAATTTTCTTTCTCTTCATTTCTAGGTAAGAGTAAGCAAGGAACAAGATCATATTCTTATCATTCCAGAAGGCCTTTCATTTTCTGAAGCATCTGCTTCTAATTTGGTATGTTCTTGACCAAATGGATATTTTTGTAATGATTTTAATTCTATTAGGGTTTTTCTTATTTTTAAAAATCTACCATCTATATTCATCTTCTTCCATATTGTTCTTCCTTCCCATTTTCATGCCTGATATATACTCTAAAAGCCTATACCTTAGTGATTGGCAGTGACATTTGGAATGTATTGGAAAGAGTTTTACTCTATTGTGTCCCTCAACTTTTGTTCAGGTAAAAGTAAATATCATAGGAGATGTGGTTGATCAAGGAAGTACCAATCTGCGAATTGACACTGCAGGATTCAGTCCTCATGCAGCCATTTATTCAATGCGCCCGGATGTCCGATGTGTGATCCATATACACACTCCAGCAACAGCAGCAGTAAGTCTCTTGCCACTTAGTAGGAAGATGATGATGACTCACTATTTATCAGAAGTCTCCTTTATTATGTTCAGGCCTGGATTGTCTTGCATTGTGAAGTTGTATAAAAATTGGATTCAAGTCTCAATACCTTTGCCTTTAAAAGATCAGCTAAGATACACCTCTTTAATTGAGCTTTTAATTGCTAACTATTTTTAGTATTTGCAGGTTTTATCATATATTTTGTATACGTTTGTTGTTACTGTTATTACTAGTATAGTACCAAACAGTGAGTTTTAGTCTTGTGATTAAGGCACCAGGCTAGAAACCAGGAAACTATGAGTTCTAGTCCCACTGTAGTCATGAAAGCCGGCTTGGAGGCTTGAACCAGTCACACTTACTCAGCCCAACTCACCTCATAGGATTGTTGTTGTGGGGAAATGGGCACAGGAAAGACAATTAGATAGGATTGCTGCCTTGAATTATTTATAAAATAATTTTATAAATTATTTAAAAAATCTTAAATACAATAAAATAATGCATTGTGGTAGAACATAAATTGATTGAACAGGTTGATGGTATGGGGTGGGATAGGATGGAATGGACAGATAGACATCACTGGACTGTTATTCAAAATCTTTACTAGATCATCTGCTTTATATTGCTACTCATTTACAGTCTTGAAATTCTCTTTTTACTATATTATCATATATTATTTAACTATATTGGAATTGAATTATATGGTTTTAAACTTTATGCCATTTATTTTTAATTTCTCATATTTCTCAACTTTATTCATATGTCAAAGAATTTATATAATACTATAGAGACAAGAAACAACTCTATAGGCTCATATATTTTAGAAATTGAAAATTGGAGTTGTTCCTTTATGGCAGTCATTGATAAAAAAAATCCCCTATAGATGTTCTGTACTGCAAGTACCATAATCTAATTTATTGGGCGCTATTTGGGATTTAAAGGAGTTGTAGAATACTTGAAAGATATTGCACATCTCATATTGGCAAATATAAATGTTTGTATATCCATATTTTCAAATTTCCTCCACCATAGAAATCTCAAATATTTCAAACAGGTTTCTTCCATGAAGTGTGGGATACTTCCCATTTCTCAAGAGGCTCTGATTTTAGGGGATGTTGCATACTATGATTATCGTGGATCTCTGGATGACCAGGAAGAAAGAATTGATCTTCAGAAAGTTCTTGGACCAAGCTGTAAGGTATTTCATTCTAATGGATTTTAAAAAAAAATTCTACTACTTTTGCAATTTCTACCAGTTACACGTATCTTTGTTTCTTAGGTGTTGGTCTTGAGAAATCATGGGGTAGTAGCACTGGGAGAGACATTAGAAGAGGCCTTTCACTACATCTACAATGTGCAATTAGCCTGTGAAATACAGGTAAGAAGCGAACTGCTTTAAATAGTTTAAAATACTATATTTCAAAAGTATAAGCAGATAATGTGTGTTTTTAATGGATTCCTTGATATTAGGAGTAATTATTTTTAGGAAATTGTTGCAGTGAAGGAAAGACCTATTTGTACTGTCATTATATTTGTAATTTATAAAAATAAACAGTATATTAAAAATGAAATATTATAATAATATTATTATTAAGAGACAGGTATAACATAGGCCTTAATCAAGTATTTAGTTGATACCTTCTGTACAAGTTGAGTAGCATATCTTTTGCATGCTAATATACCAAAAAGAATGTTTTGATTATGGAAAATTCATAAAAGCTCTATATTTACTATATCATTTATATCACAGGTACATGCCTTGGCTGCTGGTGGCATAGACAATCTTCTTATCTTAGATTTGCAGAAATATAAACCTCTCACACATCAAGTAGCTGCAGCAGCCGGATTAAGTATGGCGTCTCAGTTCAAGTGGAAAGTAGGCGAGCTAGAGTTTGAAGCGCTGATGAGAATGTTAGATAACCTGGTACGTGTAAAAAGACTGATTTCTGAATTCTCAGAACTTGGAATAGTTGCATCCAGCCAAACCACACATCAAATATCCAACCCCAAGACCTAGGAGACTAGCCAAGTTTTCTTTAAAAAAAAAAAAACCCACTCTTCTGGAACATCATCAGAACGGAAACTACATACATAGATACTGAGATTGGGTGGGTAGTTGGCAGCTATCATTGTAGAGTGCAGGTGGTGTATTAAAAAATACCTGCTTCAGGGAACTTGCAGCACAATAGACCTGCCCTATGTTACCAAATGGATGGACATCATGGAAGATAGAGGATTTCTCAAATAATTTGGCCCTATACTAGGAAGCAATTTATAAATAATAACCAGTGCCTTCCTTTTAAGTGCTAAAGTCACTGGATTATGATCTGAAAAGCTCTTTTTCAATATCTCTATTCTGTAAACACTGATGGCCAAATTCTTAGAAACCGAGAACATATCAATTCTTGAAAAATATCTTATAGTATGTAAATTCTTTCTATCATTTTTCTGTCTCCATGAACATGCAACTTGTAAATTGTCAATTATATTTAAAAAAAATTTTTGACAGTTTACATTGTGTTTTCTTAATATCTTTTTTGGTTATTTTTATTTTTTATGGGCAAATCATTTCATTCTAATCTCCTGTTAGGCACCAATTTTTATACTATATATCTATTAATTTATCCAAGACTCCTTTATAAAATTTTATTTTATCTTCATTTCAGGCATAAGTTCCTAGTTCATGTAAATTAACTTTCTTAGTGTCATGTAAATTAACTTCCACCCCAACATACTTACCATAGTCATTAGTCAATATCAGTTCTGTTTGTAATTGAGGATTTATGTATGAAACAACTCTGTTTGTCTTTCATTCTTGATGACATAAAAATGGATGTAAATCAAATATTTTTATCCTTTTTTCTAATATGTATTTCTTGTAAACAAATTATATCTTGTTTTGGTTTTTCAAATAATGAAATAATTTTATTTTTTCAGGAGCATTTGCTCCATTTATATTCCAGGTTAGGCTTTTAAATTTCATCCTTTCAAGAACTGGTCCACATAAAAAGTACTGTTGCTAGAATTTATTTCCAGTATTTTTTCTTCCTTAGTTACTTTCCACTCATCCTAGCTAGTTTTCCCAGCTCCTTGGTAGTACTTTCCCCTGCCCACTCCTATTTCAAGTCATCAATCCTCTCTTGCTTCCAAGTCACCATTGTGTTCTTACAGTCTACCTAAGAATGGCTTTGATTTTTTTCATTATCCCTACTATCCCAATATGAGAAGGAAAATTGGTTGGCTAGGAAAGAATGGAACTCAAACTACTCTTTGCCTTTTCCATTTATTTTTGGAGAATGTTGAGAGCTTACACGAACTCCAGTGGCACTCCTGAAGAAAAAAAAAAAGGAAGATTGGGTCATTTTTGTATGAAATAAACTGTATTTAAATGTTTGTGTTTAGTTTAATCACTTTATTTAGGTTATTTTTTTATGTGCAATTTCAGAATACATAATGACATGTGGGAATGACCTTGGGAAATGGAAAAAGAACTACAACCTAAACAATGGTCTATAAATGAACTCTATCCTAAGAAAGATGGGTGGGAATTCTCTCTAGTTGGGAGTGGGAAAGTAACAGAAAGAAAGAGTGCTTTTGGTCTTGCAAGATTCTGTTACTAGAAACATATAATAAAGGTAGCGTTAGTACTTATGTTGGTGCTTGGACTACCTCAAAGGGGTGACGGTTTTCCTACAATTTTACAAGAGCGTTTTCTTCTCACAGGGTTACAGAACAGGCTATGCTTATCGTCAGCCCTTAGTGAGGGAGAAACCCCGGCACAAGAGTGATGTTGAAATCCCAGCCACTGTGACAGCGTTTTCCTTCGATGATGATTCAATCCCAATTTCCCCCCTGAAATTCCTAGCACAAAAACAACAGCGGGAGAAGACAAGGTGGCTAAACTCACCAAATACGTATTTGAAAGTAGATGTTCCTGAAGAATCCCGAAATGGAGAAACAAGCCCCAGGACCAAAACAACAGTAGGTAGCGCTTATCCAGAGAATTGAAATAGTTTGCCTATCTAGATGTGTCTAGGTAGATTCCTAACTGAAGGCCAGAATACCTCTGGGCAGTAAAGATTATTCTAAGCTGGGCAAGTCTTAATTCCTGGTGACTTAATGGACATTTCCCTATCATCTTCTCCACAACAATGTATAAGAGGTTTGCCATTGCCTTCTAAGTAACAGTCCTTTTATGTCCTGAAGGTCTCCTGTCTGAATACTAACTACATCTGGCCCTGTTTAATATTGTGAGTTCATCCAACATCAACTAGGTAGCTGAACAGTTTTGAACTACAAGCAGTGGTGGAATTCAGCCAATTCACACCACATCAGCAGAACTGGTAGCTAATTTTTTTTTGCCCACGCTCAGAATGGGTTTCCGGCATCCACACAGAGAACTGGTTGTTCTCATATTTGAATCCCACCACTGACTACAAGGAACCAGGGATATCTTGGTATAAGGCAGTTTCTTGTATTTGTTATCTTGTCTTTTTAGAGAACTATTGGCATGTAACACAACTATAGATCACCTCAGGACTGAGCTCCTATACAATCAACTGGGGAATATGGGCAAGAAAGAAAGAATTTCATGTAAACCACTGTACCTCTAAATACCACTGAATTAGGTGATTGCCTATGGTCAAGGATAAACAAGTATTCAATAATTTCTGCATAATTTTTTATTTAAAGTATTGTGATACAAAGAATATTTTTATCCCCACTGTCCTGGTACTCTGTTTTCTCAGTATTGTACAGAAAACATAAATAAAAATATGCTTTATGCAGATCAATTGTAATGCAATGGAAGCATATGATTAGCTCCACCTGGTGGTGGTTTAACAATTCACCCATTTTCATTTTTGTATTTTTTAATTAATTAAGTAGCTTAATAAAATACTGCTTTAAGGAAACAACAAAATTAAGAAGACAGTTATCTAAGGAATTAATTAATTAATAAGTATACATTTTAGTCTCTCCTAATAGGATTGTTCCTGATTACATATTGCACAAAGCAACTATTATTTTAATATCATAAATTAAATATTTTACAGATGATTAGAGCTACACAAAATTATTCAAACTAGGGATCATAACACTTAAGATACTTAAGAAAAAGTTTATTGATAAAATACTATATGTACCATCACCCTAACCATTAAGTGTTAGGGTTTGGGATTATTTTCCTTTATTATTTTTGCACATTTAAATAACAAGTTAGTTGCTCAAAAATCTCCTTGCCTTCTCTAGTCATTAAATTGCACTCATTTCCTTTTCCTGTTTTCTTAAAATCTTCTCTTTTTTCCTCTTTTCCCAGTGGATAAAAGCTGAAGACTCGGCCAAGATTAGTGGAGGAACTCCAATAAAAATTGAAGATCCAAATCAGTTTGTTCCTCTGAATACAAATCCAAGTGATGTGTTGGAAAAGAGGAACAGGGTATGCTTTGTTTCATGACCACATTTATTTCTTAATAACAATTGCTACAGAGACTTGTTAAGTTATCCCGTTTGCCTAGTATTAAGTTTTACTGGTGCTTCAAAGGTAGCTTGGAGGACAGCAGAATACTCCATATTACTATTCTGGGAGCCCCTTTTGCTTTGAATTTCTATGTTTCAAGAAAATATAGAAGTCTTGTAATGTTACTTCCTTTTGCTCTGATTTAACAGTATGCTGTTTTGAAGTTTCTTTTGGTTTTCAAAGAACAAGCTAAGTAGTTTGCACAAGAGAAAGTCTGTTGTGGTAGCACATTTCTGTTTCTTTGCTTCAGTATAGTTAATATAGTTTAGAGTGGCAGTGAGGAATAACTTTAAAGAAATCTTTGTAAGCACAAATTGCTGGCTGCTTTTTCTAATGCTTTATTTGATGTTCCTCAAATTTAAGATCCACCCTTGATTGTTCTGCCAGAAACATGAAATTTCACGCAGAGGGTCTGAGAGTGTTTTGTTCAACATCTGGTAGTAATAAAAGAGCTATACCACTCTTCCAAAATTGTTGACTGGGTTCAAAAAAGGTTGCTGTCATACTTGGAAAGGATATCACCAAGATACTAACTTAGAATCTTATCAAGTTTAGATATGCAGATTTCTCTTGCAAATAAGCTTGTGTTTGAATTACTTTTTGTGGTCAGAAGAGTTAGAGTACTTTTATGCTTAAAATATTTTGTCCAGATTCACAAATGCTCTGTTGCCAACAGAAGACAGTTTTGCCATTCTCAAAGAAGAACAGTTAATGACAGCTTGCAGCAGTGCAAGCTCTTGTGGCTAAACTTGGTCAAACTGAAAATATCTGCTTAATGGTGGCAGAAACTCTGGAGCAGAAGAAATTCAGGAGTGATAATTCATTAGCATGTTTAGATGGAAGCCCTAAACATTACCCCAGAAATATTAGGAATTTAAATAGATGGAATAAAGCCTCGTGATCTTGAATTAATGAAGTAATTACTTAGGAATACAGAAAGCCTTCTGTTGGGACTGGATACTTCAAAAACTTTTTTTTAATCTCCAGATCCGAGAACAAAATCGATATGACTTAAAGACTGCAGGTCCACAATCTCAGTTGCTTGCTGGAATTGTAGTGGATAAAAAGCCAGCTGTAAGTGTATACATTGTTGGGATTTTAAAATATGTTGTTTAATTGTATTCAGTAATTAGAATAGCAAACATTTTATTTTGCAATAAAAAACAGAGCCAGATTGCAAATACTTTAAATAAACATACATACCACTCATGCAATTCCTCTACAGAATAAATAATTCTATATATACAAACATTTAAAGTTGTTTGGAGAACCAGTCATTTGTCCCAGGATGGAGGCAATCGTTTTGCAGCCTTCATTTTCTTTTATTTTTATAGCAGACAACAGAATTATATTGATATGGGATATTGACAATTTATGTATTTTACCTGAAGAACACACTATATTTTATTTTTGCCCTTTAAGATTGTAAGCATATCAAGATATCCTATTTCTTTGATATCCTAGGAAAAATAAAAAATAAAGCAAAACAGAAAATGGGTCAGTTAATATTTAGGAAATTTGGGGGGCCACAAAATAAGGATCTCAAAGGCATATACATCTAATTTAAGCAATGTGTTTTAATTAAAAATAGGATTGTGCACTTACGTTTTTACCAGTTGTTAAAAGTAGATTTCAGACATTTTTTTTAAATCGTAAAAATGCATAATGTCATTGTCATTCTGTCTCTTTCTTTCTTCTTATTTTGTAAGATGTTATCCCCACAGCATGAACAGTTGAGAATAGTGTGTGTGTGTGTTTGTGTGTCTATGTTATGTGTATATATATTATTATGTTATATCTAAATATTGTATCAGGTATTGCAGTAGCATATAAACATTGCAATTACAGTAGCATATAAATGCAGTAAGTAAATAATTATATAAATAAATTTTGCTTCTCCATTTTAACAAAACATTTTTTTCCAGCCTATGCAGTTTGAAGAAGATGAGCATACCCCACCAGCGCCTCCCAACCCATTCAGTCATCTCACCGAAAAGGAACTGGAAGAGTATAAGCAGACAATCGAACGCAAACAACAGGGCACTGAGGGTGGGTGTCAGCTCAGAGTTTCTGTCTCCAGGTTAAGCTTTAAAGAAATTAGTTTAAATTCAAAAATCAATATTCAGAATTACTAATGTAATTAAAAGCTTTAAATTGAATAATATTAATTGACAGCTTCAGCTTTACCTTTCATATATCTTTTTATTTGTGCTTAAAAATGAATTCTCATTTTTAGAAGAGTCTTATGTGAAATGGGCATGTATGTATATTTTATCTTGGGGTAGAAGTGATGAATGAATTAGATTAATAGACTAATATCTGCATAATATATAGTATAAATCAAGAAGTTAGAAATTTCTGGTTTCCAGGACATTCCAATATGTATGAAATTATCTTATCTTCTTGACAGTGAATTGTTAGAAGATACATTTGCATTTTCCCCATAATATAATAAGTAAACTGAATCTGTAAGTCACAAAATGTGTTTTGACAAGAATTTATTTCCTAACGTAGTATGGCATTAAATAAGACTAGACGTGTTTGAATGAATAGAAGAATTTGTGGGCTTTACAATTTAGCTCTTCCTACTGTCACATTTCTTAACAAAACTTCCTTTGATTTCTCTATGTATATAAAAGATAAATGTCTCTTTTTGTTGGGACCAGGTTCCTTCTCCTATGTGGGAGTACTTTGCTCCTTCAGACGAATATCAAGTGGACCTTTTTTTTTGCAAGGAAACTCCCCTTCCCCATTTATTCAGGATTTGGAAGAGGGGGATATACCTTTTATGTTGTCATCAGTGTGGTCATGTTTATAGATATTTAAATTCAGTTTTGATCAGTGCAGTTAAAAATCACAAATACCGTAAATGCCAGCATATAAGGCAACTTCCGCGAGCGCTGAAATCGGCGCCAAAGACGGGGGTCATCTTATACGCCGAGTCGTCTTATACGCCGGAAATACTGGTAGTTTCCGGCGTATAAGACGACGTTCTAGGAATGCGGCCCGGCTATAAAGACGGGGGTCGTCTTATACGCCGGGTCGCCTTGTACACCGGCATTTACAGTAACTTTAACTGAAACCTCAGTAACTTACTTACCCTTTTATATAAATAATGAAGTCAAATATATTAGTAAACCTATAAATCTCTCATACTTATTATCCAGATCACTGCTTATATCAGTTGTATATTAAAGCAACTGATTCCATGGTTTGTTTGTTTTTTTTACTTTTACCTTGTTCCTACTCACCTTCTAGGTGAGATGGCTACCCTACAGTTTATTTTCTCTCAACTCTTGGCAGCTAACTTCTCCATCATTTCATTTCCACCTTCATTAAATTATGATGATGCTTGCATTTAGATGTTTTCCAGATTTAAAAAAACCTACTACAATTTCCTTTATTTACCTTGATCAAATCAACATTGCCTTTGACCCAGCCTTCCCTTTTTAATTGTCTGTATTTCATTCCCACATTTTTGGAATACCTTTCTAGTAACCTTAGGATAAATTTAAAACTATTTTCTCTTTCTGAAAACTGGTATAAACATAGATAATTTATCACTTTACATAGGATTATACAGAAATATATAAGACTGGATAAATGACTTGTACACTTGTATTGCTTTTGTATATTACTAATATAAAAGCACATAAGTACAATTAAGTACAAAAAAGCAGAATAAAAGTTAGATATTCTTGAACCGATATGTTAATCTTTAAAAGACATCATTCCTGAGCAAAATGGTCTGATAGCTGTATATTCTGTTGCCTGCATTTATAGCAAGCAATCTTCTAACCTTCCAATTTCTTATTTTTGAAAGCGTAAAGATTCAAAGGTAAAAATCCTTGTATTTTGGCATTTTTTCCACCCATTTTCATTCAAAGCATCTGATAAGGCTCTTTAATAATATGGGCATTACTAATTTACTGTTGTCTCACTAGCATTTTCAACACTAACACTGTATATATTGTTTTGACTACTTTAATCACAGTATTGTTACTTAAGAAGCTATGTTCTCATAGAATACTTTCTTCTAACTATTTGGATCCATCTTTGATATACGCTACATGTAATAATCATAGATTGGTAATAATATTAGTTTATAATCTAATTCAATGTTATAACATTTGCATGATCAGGTCAACATGGCTAAACTGTTCGCATTTTTGTATGTACTAATATGTACTGATTTTTTTGTGTGTTGTGTTTATTTTGGCATGGCTTTTACTAACTCAGGCTCTTGTCCTACAGATGCTGATCAAGAATTATTCTCAGATGATGGGTCCTCTGTTTCCCAAATTAACTCTCAAACTCAGTCCCCACAAAATGTCCCTGACAAATTAGAAGGTATATAATGTAATGTCAAGTGCAATATTACAACTCTGGAAGGCATAAAATGCTATTTGCCATGCACAATATTGTGAGCCTGTAAATCCTTCCTTATAGTCTATTTCTTAATCCCAAAGATCGATCATAGAAAATATAGTCAAACTCGTAATATGTGAAGCCCAATACAATATCCATATGAATTATTATGTAATTTGGCCTAATCTCATTTATTTTTCAGAATAGGCTACCTAAAAGAGAAATTTCAGCCATTAATTTATGTCCTAGCTTTAATTACAGTTTTTTGTTTGTTTGTTTTAAAAAATGCTTTGTTCCCTGCATTATGTAGTACAACTTGGTCTAATAATGCCAGTTTAACATAACAAACAGATAATGATGTTACTTGACGGAGTATACCTTCTAGTCAGAAGTATATTCTGTATGTCCAATTGTGTCCGGAACTTGGTTAAAAACCTTATTCCAGACACCCAAGAAATATTAATATTACTTAATGTCGCTTTAAAGTGAAGCTTTAAGGGAAAAACTGGTGGGATAAAAAAGGAACTGAAGCCCAGATTGCCAAACTTTACAAAGTCATAATTTTCTACAATTCCCAATTCAAGATAGTATTTAGTCCTGTTTAGAATGTTACACAACCATCTGTTCTAATAACCACCATTGCAAGAAAGAATAAAATAATCACTTTTTTCCCTTCTCCAGAAAATAATGACAATTACCTACAGGATTCTAACCTCACCTCTTTGGAACTGCCAGTTGTTGTCATGAATGGCAAAGAAGATGCACATGATGTGGAAGAGGATCTGGCCCAGAGAGTCAGCCAGTTAACCACTAGTACTATAGAGAATATAGAGATTACAATTAAGACTTCTGAGAAGATTGAAGAGACCCTTTCTCCTGAAGGCTCTCCTTCCAAATCACCATCAAAGAAGAAGAAGAAATTCCGTACTCCATCCTTCCTGAAAAAAAACAAAAAGAAGGAAAAGGTGGAGGCCTGAGGTTTCACTGACACTTTAGTCATACATCTAATCAGTTGTTAAAATGGTCAAGTAGGGTTATGCAAGAAACTGGGCCTTAACCTAAGTACAGAACTGGAAACAATTACATAGAAACTGGGTTTTTAATTAATTAAATGAAGAATTCATCTCTTAATTAGTACAAATAAAATTATGAGAATTTTAAGTATTGAGTATTTCCACCACAAACTAACACTGGCAGTTGGTCCACTATAATACCACAGTAATTTCAGATATCCTTATCTAGCAAGTTACTCATGAAGATTTTTGTTGATTAAAATGTCTTCAGCAATTTCACTATTGAATGATCAGATAGTGTTTGTTTTTAACCTACTGCCACATTATGTATTTGGGTGATGTTTTTTGAATAATCTTGATTGTGGCATTTATTTTGTCCCTGCCTCAAAGGGTGGTATCTCTCTAATCACACCCTCACAAACCTTGGTCATTTAATTATATAGCGGCACATAATTTTAAAAGGCGAAACTGTAAAAGGAATTGCATTTGGAATTTTACAGACTCTGTGAAGGTTGCATTCATCAATAATAACTTTTGCCAAATATTCATTTTAGTAAGATAGAATTTTTGAAATTTTTTTTTATTCTATCAGTTGGGGGCAGGGAGAAAGCCCTTATTTTTCAATAAAGGGGATTTTATACACTTAACATTGATAACTTCGTTTAACTATGGCAAAACAGAAAAAGAATTTTATATGTTGAAATTTTTGTATACCATTCAATATAAAGTATTATAGGCATGTAAACCAAGCATTTAACAGTAGAATGTATTCAAGGATGCTTGGTATAGAATATACTTAAATATAATTCACGAATCCAGAATTTCTGACATCAGACATAAAGAGCGTAAAAATTTACTGGATTCAATTCTAAATCTTACTATATTTTTTTCTCATAATATTATTGAATGAAGAAAAATAATCTTGATAACATATGATCTTCCAGAAGATCAGTTCGAAGTGTGTCCTAGTTTCATTTAGCCTTTCTTAATTATTTCTGCAGAAATTTCTGTTGAAATCTCAAGGTATGAGATAGATACAGGTGGTGAGGCTACAGAATGACAAAACCCGGGGATGAAATTCTCACTAGGCAGCAAAATGTCACTATTAGTATACTGTAGTACTTGTGACAGGCCTGTAGTCACTTTTTGGATAGTCCTCTGAAAAGCAGTAAGCCCAGTAACTGGGAGGGGTTTATGTTGCTGGAATGAGGCTGTATTGCCATTTGAGTGCAACGATATGTAGTTCCCATGAAATGACTTGGATGCAGCTGCATTCATGTTGCACTATAAACTGATCATCTGGAAAAGACCATAACCAAATAAGAGAGACAAAACTGGAAAAGGGAAAGTGAGATGGAAAGAATAAGGGCATGGAGAAAAAATGAGGGGTAGTTGTGGATTATTTTTCATAAAATATATGTCATGGAACTGGGGGTATTTTTATTAAATTGATGGAACATCTGTTTTATATTTTAAAATTACAATAGAGGTTAATAGGATCATTTTAATCTACATTTTGCCTTCTCAATGAATCTTAGAGCAAATTAGTGCTGATTTGTAAGTGCTGATCCTGCCATTTGTCCTTGCTGGTAGTTTTATTTTGAGTTAAACAGAAAAAGAAAACAAATCTGTAAATACACACTAAACATGAAAATGAACTATGACCTTTTTACATCCATAGGCACAAGAGAAAGTATATCTTAAATGTTAATGTTACTTCCAGATTGCCAGTTGAAATATATTACCATATATAGATGGTTAAATATGGCCAGGATGTGATTTGGCATGCAAAAACTGAGTATAGCATGTTACAGGGCTGGTGAGCTTTGATTGTGTAAGTGTGGCAATGCAGTGCAGAAATAAATCTGGAAATGATATTTTAAATATCTCAAAATACTGGAATTGGTGTGTTTTCTTAAAAAAATAGTGGGACTATCTTAAGTTACTTAAATTTTTATGTTCTACATTTTTTGTGTTGTATTACAACATATGTAGAAACAGTAACCTGTGAACTATGCTTTTCATAACTTTAAAATCTATATCTAAATGAATGCAATGTGCATAAATATTTTTTAAAAATGCAACCGTGAACTATTTGCACCTTTTTTCGCTAATGCCTCTATTTCCTTGCTTTGGCATATGAATGAGCCAGCCAACTGTGTCCTGTGGAAAAAGATATATAAATGTTGTTGGAAATTGCTTATAGATGTAATGCTAATTAATGTTAAATCACAAATAAACAGTATTTTAAGTATATGAGTGTAAATATATCTTTTTCATGGCATTCTTCAGCAAAGGAGTATATAATGTGCAATTTTTAAAATATGTAATTGTAAGCAGCTAGCTTATTCTTTTAAGTGCAAATTTAGAAAATTATTCAGAATTGCTTCAGATCTTGCATACTTCTCTGAATTTCATTAAAGCAGCCTACCTCTTCAGGTTTCTATGAGAGCCTGATTTTAAGAATAGCATTAATGTTAATGAGTGCATTCTTGAGAATTTCTTATATGGAAATCCAAAAATATTAGGCTGTTTTAATGAATAATAGAGAAATGCTATGCTTATAGGTAGTTAGAAACATTCCAAATACTTTGCAAATCTTTCACAATCCTACTATGCATAGGAATTCATATTAATAAATTATAACTTCTTAGAATAAGATCATATAATAAACATACATACCAGATTAGATATTTTGAATTTTAGGTATAACAGGATTTTTAAAGCAAGAAAAAAGGGAAAATACTTTGTGTGCTTTTAGTGCAATCCCTGCCACTTTGATGTAAATTCATAGCAGGTGTTAACAAATTACAAAGTACCCTATCAATGTAGTAATTGTAGTGATGTTATTATCACACAGATGCATTTGTATAGTTCAGAGCTATGCCAGCCACGACCAGAAGGTGGCAGTGGTTCCTGTTTGTAATTTTGATGTATATGGAATTAATCCCTTGAAAGACAATTAGCAAGCTGCTTTCAAAGAAAGTATGTTGATGGAAGTTCTGTGGGCATCATTCCAGCTGCACTGCAAATAGATGAAAGAGAACAGTTGGCTTTTTTTTTTTTAATGTCTCTGTTTATCCTCTCAGTTAGGAACCCAGAAATGGAATGTTTCTCTCAGGATTTCTCTCTCTTCCTACACCGATAGAGATATTTTGCTTGTTTTTTAAAAAAAGATTATTAAGCTGGTTTTACTAACTTTGTTAGGTACTAGAATAGAATATTAGCCTCTTGTAAGATGATAGAACTGATATAGTTAACATGCTACATCAGCCTCCACTTTTAGGCCTATTTTCAAAATACTGCCATGGAAAATACTAAAACTGAAACATTCATTGCAATTCTAATGCAGAATGCATGTGAAATACATCTGCTGCAAAATTATTAGCAGTTAAAACAATTATGTTTATTGTATAAAAGTATTTTTATGTGTGTTTTGACACAATTAAAAACAGCTTTGAAATCAAGTTCATAGATAAATTGGGGCAAGCCCTGACTCAAGATTTAATATAGATTTTATACCAATATATAAACAATATATTTTTGGAGCAGGGCATTTCTTTGTGAGCGAAGAAAAACAACCCCAAACAGATCTGTTAGATACAATGGAGAAGGACTTTATCTTGTTGGTACTTCAATAAAGTCCAGATTGTAGAGAAAACATGAGCTAGAAAAAAATACACCTATGCATAGCCCAAATAATAGAAAAAAATAGTCAGATGACTATTCAAATCATACTATTTATTATAATGCCAAGATTAGAGTGAATTTGGTGTAATGGTTAAGACACCAGGCTACAAACTGGAAGGCCATGAATTCTACTTTTGCCTTACCCATGAAACTAGCTGGGTGACCATGAACCAGTTGCTGCTCCCAGACCTGGGAAGGAGACAATGGTAAATCACTTCTGAAAACTTGCCAAGAAAACTACAAGGGACTTGTCTAAGTGATCACCAAGAGTGAACACTGATTCTAAGATATTTTTTTTTCAGTTTAGAGGAGATAATTATCTGGAATGTTCAGGGTTCATTTTGCTCCTTTTAAGTGGTACTTTTCATGCATTATTACATAATTAGAAAATTCCCTTAGTTTTTGGATGATTCATATTTTAGGCCAGTAACATACAATAGCATTAAATATATTTCTTTCTGGAAAAAAATCTTAATTTAGTTTTCTGTGATTTTCTTTGGATATTAAACATGCTGAATTACAGTTCCCGGTATCCCTCACCATTAAGCATGTTCATTTAGGAGCTATAGTTCAGGAACATTTGGAGCACAACAAAGCCTCATCTGTGGCTTACTATAATGTGCAGAGCATAGTATCTTTTTATATTAATGATACTTGAAACAGGATTAAAGCTAAAAAGCTTGTTTAGCATTATCCTGAGCAAGGACCAAAAAAAACTGCTATAATAATAATAAAAAAAAAGTTGGAAGGGACCTTGGAGGTCATCTAGTCCAACCCCCTGCTCAGGCAAGAAACCCCATACCATTTCGGACAAATGGTTGTCCAGTTTCTTCTTTAAAACTTCCAGTGTTGGAGCATTCACCGCTTCTGGAGGCAGGTTGTTCCACTGGATAATTGTTCTAACTGTCAGGAAGTTTCTCCTTAGTTCTAGGTTGCTTCTCTCCTTGATTAGTTTCCATCCATTGCTTCTTGTCCGGCCTTCAGGCGCTTTGGAGAATAGCTTGACTCCCTCTTCTTTGTGGCAGCCCCTGAGATATTGGAACACTGCTATCATGTCCCCCCTCATCCTTCTCTTCGTTAAACTAGACATACCCAATTCCAGCAACCGTTCCTTATATGTTTTAGCCTCCGGTCCCCTAATCATCTTTGTTGTTCTTCTCTGTACTCTTTCTAGAGTCTCAACATCTTTTTTACATCATGGTGACCAAAACTGGATGCAGTATTCCAAGTGTGGTCTTACCAAGGCATTGTAAAGTATTAATACTTCACGTGATCTTGATTCTATCCCTCTGTTGATGCAGCCTAGCACTGTATTGGCTTTTTTGGCAGCTGCAGCACACTGCTGGCTCATATTTAAATGATTGTCCACTAGGACTCCAAGGTCCTTCTCACAGTTACTACTATTGAGCAAGGGACCCCTTATACCAGTGGTTTTCAACCTTTTTAATGCCGCGACCCCCAACCGGTCGTAAGTCGAGGACTACCCAACCGGTCATAAGTTGAGGACTTTCCCTGCCCGGGAGCGCCGCGCATGCGTGGCGCCACCCCCTGCGCCGGCCGAGGCGTAGCTGGCAAGTGGCAGAGACGGAGCAGGCCGACCACTGGCTGGGCCACCAGCTGGCCCAGCCCAAGGGAGGTAAGGCACCCGCTGGGCCCCATGTACACCAGCAACCCTCCCTGCGCCCGCCGGCCTCCCACCTCCCACCCCTCGCCCTCTTTTACTTACATTTTTAGTAGTTGCTCAGCAGGGAGGGGTGGAAACTTCCAGACAGCTCGCCTTCGCTGCAGACAACTTGCAGCACCGTTTGCAGAATGGGACTTTTAGTGGGCTCAGCAGGGCAGAGACAGCCTGGACAATTCCTATTGGCTTTTGAAAGCCAATAGAATTAGACTCTATTCAAGAGAGTCTATTCTATTGGCTTTCAAAAGCCAATAGAATAAAAGGGAGTAGCACAGCTAAGGAAAAGGGGGAAAAATGGCGGACTGCGTTGTTTGGCAACCCCCGTGAAATGGTTGTTCGACCCCAAATGGGGTCCCGACCCACAGGTTGAGAACCACTGCCCTATACTATACCTGTACATTTGGTTTTTCTTGCCTAAACGTAGAACCTTACTTTTTTCACCATTGAATTTCATTTTGTTAGATAGCGCCCAGTGTTCAAGTCTGTCCAGATCCTCCTGTATGCTAAGCCTGTCTTCTGGAGTGTTGGCTATTCCTGCCAGCTTGATGTCGTCTGCAAATTTGATGAGTTCCCCATCTATCCCCTTGTCCAGATTGTTGATGAAGATGTTGAAGAGCACTGGGCCCAGAACAGAGCCCTGGGGCACCCCACTACACACTTCCCTCCATGTAGATGCGGTTCCATTGAGAACCACACACTGAGTACGGCCGGTCAGCCAGCTACGGATCCATTTGGTGGTGATGCTGTCTAACCCTGCTCTGTAGTCTTAAATTTTATTTTAAAAAGATAAAAACTAATAGAAACATACAAGCAAACATTTCATCACTCAACAGGGTAACATCAGTGTGAGTAAGTGTGGGCTTTGCTACTTTATCAAAACAGGTATTATCTGAAACAAAAACATCATTCTAGGCAAGATATTTTTACAGAAATTTTCCCCAGCAATGACAATTGTAGTTTCTTTCATCTTAAATTTTTTTTATTTCATGTCTCAATGTAATTATTTTGAAATAACTTATAATTTTTGTTTGTCATGGTGATACTCAGATTTTTTACTGAAAAATTGTTTTATTTATCAATTCTCTATTCTCATGTTTTTGGTTAACATTTTCATCTTCTGTTTGTTCATCCTAAAAAAAACCCCACCAAATTCTTTTAAATTTTCCCATTAACACTCAAATTCCTTCTAAATTATCTTCCAAAACCAAAATCATTAGCAAAAGCCCTTAACTTTTAAGTTTCTTTTTTAATCTTTGCTTTTCATTATGTTTCTCCAAATATTTCAAAATGTCCAACTAAGATTGTCCTTTAACTGTATTTTACATGAAAAGCCGTATTGATCCTCATTAATAAATTCTTGCAAAAATATTTTCAGTCTATCAGTCAGAATCATTGTAAACAACTTGTCATTATTCAATAATGATATTAGCCTATAGATTCTTGTTAAAGTCAAATCTTGTCCCTCTTTAGATATTAGTGCTAAATTGGCCTTTTCCCAACTCTCTGACATCTTTCCTCCATATAGTAGAAGTTCATCCTCAAAACATTTATAATAAGGACCGGATAATCCATCTGGGCCAGGCATCTTTCCTGGTTTAATCTTTTTTTATAGCTTCAGAAACTTTCCTTATTGTTAATAGATTCTTTCATAATCTATCTCTGTTCCTCTAACCCTCAATAAATTTTGTGATATCTTCCTGGTTTGTCTGCAAATTTAAAAGTTTGTTTTTTTACACATTTCATTTGCATTTCCATTCTTTTTACTGTTAACATAGATAATTGTCATTGTAAAAATTAAATTTGTTAAGAAATTGTGTTTATTTGTTTTGATCATATGCTTCTCAGACTATTCTGTGAGTGAAATGGCAGTTTCTAAATTTGATAG